ATGAAATAGTGATGATGAGCATGACAAAACTATAGAAGAGGAAAAGAGCAATAAAAAACTTTATTTTGAAAGAAAACTTAATTATACCACTAAAAAACTAATTTGTTTAAAATGATAGGTTTTTTCAATTTTTAGAAGAATAAATTTTACCATTTTATGAATTAGAATTCAAACATTTCATATTGATTTAATTCATATGTTTATTTTATCATTTTTTTCATTTATAAATTACATTGACATGTGTGTATATTATTTTAACAAATTCAAAAAAATTCAAACATAATTTCAAGTAATAAAGTAAACAAATGAAATAAGAAAGTGATAAAAAAAGAAGCAAAAAGAAAATAAGTCGCCAATAAGTAATACAAGGAAGCATCAACTAGTAAAATTTTTCCGTTCTTACTTTGGATTAGTCTATCCGAAAGCATATTTTTAGAAAGCATATAATTATTATTCTTTTTGCATTTCTAGCATTGTCTATTTACATATATAAAATATAGATCTAGGAAGATATTGAAAATAAGGTATAATCACTTCAAACAAGTTGTATCCCAAACACTAAGCCCTACGCCCACAAGCAGTAAAACATGTCATAATCCATAACAACCTAAGGAACTATTGCCTATTTAAAGGAGTAGAACATTATGAGTGGCTTCAGAAATAATAGCCAAAGCACGACACACAAATAGAAAAAGAACACCCTACAAAAACTTCACATAATTAAGTAATTGAAGCCGCTCTCTCGTAAGTGTATGTGCACATTGAATAGTCTGTACCGATGCATAAATAATTCTCTTTACCTCCACTCAAAAGTTATTCTTGGTCATTAGCTTTATCACCTTTGCTTGCACTGCTAAGACTGCAATAATGATAAAGGCCACAATGAGGATCAACAACATTGTTAGTCATCTCTATACACCTTATCAAACTTTTTGTATTGATGCAGTATAAATGCCTAATATAGATTGATCAATTACTTTAAGAACAATGAATGATGATATAATTGGTTTGTTTGTATATCAAGTATAGGCCATAAATATTAAATGATATTAAACCTAACCTCTCAAAGACCATGTGCCATGATCTTGTTTGCAATTCAATAGTTCCAATTTTATAAGAAAGAATCATTATGAATAGAAAATTGAAAAAAAAAACCTTGAAATATTGGTGCTATTTTCCTTCTCATTAAAAAGAGTGTATGCTGGATTTTAATTGGTAGTTTGCATTTGATCGTTGAAAACACCACATGATTAGGGCTTAACATCCTATCAAATTCTAGAACATTATCTTTAATATATTACAGTTATGTTTAAATTCTTAACTAATAATAACTATTTTGTTCAAATTGCATTTTTTTTGTTGACCTGCTAATTAGTGGTAAAATTAAATCCTACTCCTAAAAGACATTGTCATATAACCTTAAGTTAATATGTCAAATCTGATGTAGGCTGCTAAAGGGTTTAGGATTTTTTATTGAAAATTAAAATTCAGTATAGATTCAGATGCAAGTTACAATTCCAATTAACAACCAATGAGCACAAAAAACAGGTTATTTATAATTTACCATTTACAACTTTTGATCAAACATACGAAAATTAAATTTAATTCATGTGAGAATATATTCAATTATACCATAAACTAAGAAGAAGAATGTTGAGGATCGTAAGAAATCACTCAAGTGATTAAGGTTCGTGCAAAAGGAAGAAATTTAAACTGTAACAGATCTGAAAAAATTTAATAACATTTTCAAAAATTTAGAAAAGAGGAGAGAAGAGAGAAAGTCGCCAAAAGCTAAAGAGATTGCTTCTCCAAAAGATGTTCAAAATTGCACTTAATTAAGTTTTAGAAATCTGAAAGGATAAAAATTTGCACAACCAATAAGAAATTTATCAAGCATGGACTCGTTTTCTTCACATGCCTTGAATACCTTTTTCTAGGATTTGAACCCCAACCATCCCCTAAGGCGGGAATTGACAATACCAATAAGCTACATGTACCGGAGGGAAGCCCACACCACAATGAAAATAATAATAATATTGTTGCATGCCAACGATAACAAATAAAGACTCTCCTAATGGAAACAAACGACACCAAAAATAACAACACAATCATGAAGATACATCATACAGACTCCAATTAGGGCTATGACAGCAGGTGGGGGCGTTAACTGCGGCAGGTCAGCTTGCTAGGAGGTGTTGGAGATGATCGACGGCCTGCTGTATGGAAATTAGAGGAAAGGCTGGGATGTGTTGGAGACAGACAAAGGCCAGCCAGAAGGGAGCTGGAGGAAGGCAGCTTGCTGGGATGGTGCAGAGGATGATGGACAACGACCTGGAAGAGGTCGGCAGGGGTCGGGACATCCCCTGGAAGCGTGGACAGCAACCTAGAAGATTTAGCCAGTGGTCGGGAATGCACCCAGTAAAATGGACAGCAACCTCGAAGGTGCGAGATGGAATGGCGGCAGAAGGATAGCTGCTGGAGGCGGCGAACAGCAGCAGGGAAGGTGACTGGCTTGGCCGGCAGAAGGCAGGGACAGCAATTAGGCAACTGGAAGGTCGGTGCGGCAGCGAAGAAGATAGTTTACGGCAATTGGAAGCGGGGCCGAAGAGGGGTGTGTGAATAGATACATATATTGTCGAGGACGAGCTACAATCGGACCACCACTTGGACTCTTGGAGACAGATACCATCTTGGACGAGCTACAGCTAGAGCACCCTCTTGTCGTTGGATACAACCTACGGAGGGGAAGAATGCCTCAAAGACAACATTTAGAATATGCAATTATAAAAAAACTGTCTTAACCTTAACAAACATGTATAAATAAGAAGGGGTTAGCAGATAGATTAGGCAAATAGAAGAAAATGAAATAAATAAAGGAGAGGTGATGGGAAAGGAAGAAATTTAAAATTAAGACAGAAGTAGAAGGTTGCAGATAAGGTAGGGAATCAAATAAAAAGGGGGACACGCGATTACTATAGCAGCTACAGTAACACGTCGCAGTATCGCGTCCACGGTAAGCTCCCGCCTCAATCTACCGAGGTTGGGGAAGCTTCAACCTTAATCATAGAAGCATTTAAGGCAGAAAAATTTTGGTGGGGTGACTTGAGTAGGGGCGGATACTAGGGACCCGAGGATAGGAATAGGATTAGGCTGGCTCTGATAACAAATAATATCGGAGGAAAGCCCAAACCACAATGAAAATAATAATAATATTGCTGAATTCCAACAATTAAAAATAAAAACTCTCCTAATAGAAACAAACGACATCAAAAATAGCAACACAATCATAAAGACACAACGTATAGACTCTAATTAGGGCTACGATAGCGGGTGGGATGTTGGCGGCAGCAGAGCAGCCTGCTGGGAGGTGTTGAAGATGGCTGGCGGCTTGCAGGAAGGGAGTTGGAAGAAGGGCAACCTGTTTGGATGTGTTGGAAACGGTCGACAGACTGCCAGAAGGGAGCTAGAAGAAGGTGGCCTGCTAGGATGGTGCAGGAGATGGTGGTCAACAACTTTAAAGAGGTCGGCGGAGGTTGGGACAGCCCCCCCGGAAGTGTGGACAACAACCAGGAATATGTTGTCGGTGGTCGGGACAACACCAATAGAATGGACAGCAACCTAGAAGGTGCGGGATGGGATGGTGGCAGCAGGATAGTTGTTGGTGGCGGTGAACAACAACAGAGAAGGTGAGTGGGGTGGATGGAGCGAGGTAGGGACAACAGGTAGGTGGCTAGAAGGCGGATGCGGCAGTGGAGAAGATAGTTTGTAGCTGCTAGAAGCAAGACCAGAGAGGAGAGTGCGGAAGGTTACATATCTCGTCAGGGTCAAGCTACAACCGGAGCACCATCGAGACTCTTGGAGACGGTTACCGCCTCGGACAAGAAACATCAGAAGCATATTCTCGTTGTCGGATACAACCCCCGAAGTGGAAGAACGCCTCAAATGCAGCACTCAGAAATCTGCACTCATAAAAAAAAACTGTTATAACTTTAGCAAACATGTCTAAATAAGTAGGGGTTAGTAGATAGATTAGACAAGTAGAAGAAAAGACAATGAATAAAGGAGACGTGATGGGAAAGGAACAAATTTGAAATTGGGATAGAAGTGGAAGGTGATAGATAAGGTAGGGAATCAAATAGGAAAAGGGGACCAGCGGTTACTATAAAAAACTATAGTAACGAGTCCGCAGTATAGTAGTAGCTTCAGTACCACGTCAACGGAAAGCCCCCGCGTCACTATATGACCAGTGGCAATATTTATTTAAAATCCTCGTGGAATCTTAAAAAAATAAATGCCTAAGGAACAAATTGCTAGAGTACCAAGGAGACACCAATAGCCAAAACCTAGAATAATCTTAATAAGTTACAACACACTAATAAAAATACAATTCCGATTGATCAGACATACAAAGCAAACCTTGCAAAGTACTTATCAATCAATCACAACAAGATCAAGTATGCTACAAACATGAGAAGCAACCCTCAAAAAATTATCTGCATAATAGAACCATAAAACCCAAAATAAAAAAATGAAAAAAAAAAAGAAAGAAAACACAAAACAAAATCCACATAACCAAGCAAACAAAATCGCAGAAACAAAATAACAAAAAAAGGGTTATAGGAAACAAAGCCCTGCAAATAGAATAGGACAACGAACTTCAAAAATCCCACAAATAACATAATAAAAGCCTTAGAAATAGGATAGCATCACAGATACGTAAATATAGACTCCAGCTAACACCAATGATTATAACCAAAATTCAAAATCAAAATTACAAAATTGAAATTTCTAAAATAATTATCACAATGCAAGCAATTTGCACTTTCAATGACCGCAAACTTAAAAGATCCGCATCACCAGCAAGCAAAAATTTAGTTACCCATCACTACAAAAGAAGAGATAGTAAGAACAGAGTGAATTCTGTAATATTAACTATCAGGATGAAACAAACATAATTAAATAGGCACATTTATTCAACTTCAGCTTAAGAAATACTTCACCATCTAAGTCATCAACATTAGACAGAACTGAGATGCTCCCTCTACGGTCTGAGACAACAGCAGTGTCCATATCTAGTAGAGTGCAGTCAGCAACCAATCTCTGTACGGGATCAGCATAAAGCTGTTCCAATTTCCTAAGATCCTGTATAAAAAGAACCAAATGGGTAGGTTACCCGGCCCAATTAAAAAATCCTAAGAATATCATAATAATGTGCCATGCACTTACAATAATTAAACAAGGCAATAAAAATGATTGATGTGAATTCAGGTTTAGCAGGGACACCGTACATCTGTATAAGAGTAGAAAAGAATGCCGTCGCGACAATCACCAACTGCAATTCTAGTGAAACATGTATTCAAGCAAGTTATGGTAAAGCGTGTCTTGGTCATGGAATGCTTTCTCAGCCGCAGAGGATTATCAGTCACAAAACAGAAGACGTTCAGCTGCACAAATGTTGCTCATTAGTGACGAATATCAGGAATGGCTTTTTAAGTTCATATATTAAGCATTTAGTAGCACGAATTAAAAAAACAGTACTTCGTAACTTGAATTGGAAAACAGAAATAACCATCGAAAGTTAAAAACAGCACAAAAATTTATTAGCAACCCTTTACCAATATACCTCAATTACGTAATGCAAAAATGAAAACTTACAATATTACCGGAGGAAGCCAATAGATAACGGTTTAGAAATGGGCAGACAGCAAGAACAGCACCAGGCAATTGATTCTGATAAATCACCCTGAAGTTTCCCGCTTCCATTTCTTCAATTTGAATTCCATCACTACTCCAATCATCTGGACTGCTACCAACACTGGTGCTTGATAACTTTTCAGCTGCATGCCCAACAGCTTCATGCGAGGGGGAAGGAATCAGAAGAGATGAAAAATTAGAGTAATAGGTCAATGAACTGCTTTCAGAAGCATTTTGTGTATGGTCCAAGTTTAATATGATAAGCCGTCCCTTTGTACTGTAAATTATGCACAAAATTATCACATCAGACAAGCAATAAAAAATATTGAAAAAGCTCGAGGGCAAGGCTCGTTATACAATAAATCAAGGCTCATTATACAATAAATTATGCAATTCTCATTCAACATAACTTTGTAAACATAATCGTTTGAGTGTTTTTGTATAGATATGACATAAGTTTTGGTTTTTAATACATAAAGCAAGGAAGAAAAGAATGAAATCTTCAGGACATTATGAACAAAATAATCAGGAATTATATGGAAATAAACCAATATATTCTGCACAGATTTCTGAAACAAAAAAAAAAAATCAATTACTTTCAATTTAAAGTTGCAAAACTATAAGCAGTTACCACTAACAAGGCATGAAAAACACCGGAAACAGTACCTTTCTGCTTCACCATTAGGCATGATAGTCCGGCCAGGACACTGACTAGTCCCAACCACTAATAGATGCTGATATCCTATTCTCATTATTTGCATGCATTTTGCTGTTTCACCAAGCTCGCATGAGAACTTTGATATCATTACTCCATTAAAAGGATCCACACGGCAAATATCTGATGAGAAAGAAGTGTCCCGAAGTCCGGTCCTCAATATTAACAATGTCTTACTTTCTTTATGGTATAATACCTTTCGTGGAGTTCCTTCAATTGAGAATTTACCAACATTAAGTCTTTTCCGATGACCCAGTTCAAGCTGCCGTATTAGATGCGATGAAGAATGTTGAAAACAGATATGACAAAAGTTAAAGAAAGCAACAACGAAAGCAATTGCTTTATAAATAAAACAGTTAAATAGCATGATAAACACGTAAGCTGGATCAATCCATCAACAAGAATAAAACAGCACCAGTTGCAGATTTTTCTCTCTCCTGCTAGGCCTGAGATTAGTTTATTTTACTTCACGATCAAATAATCCAAATATTCATCAGCAACAATTTGCAACCCATTCAATATTCAAAATCACTCAAATAATTCCAAATCATGACTAATTCTTTCCATCATGGATAATATCAGTCACTATTACTGTGAAATCCCTTACGTAGAAGGAAACTAAACTCTTAAAATATCGAGGCACCCCTACTTGTAGTTTCAATGAAAACTAATAAGTTAAGCATACATTTATGGGAATACTCTTGGGACAGTTGACCTCTATAGAAGTTACACCAATGCCAAAAAATCATGATGTCATTAGGCCAAAGTGGACAAAATCTCAATGGCCAAGATTTTGGGTTGTTACAAATGGTATCAGAGTGTTACACCATTTGAAGGTGAGAATTATCATATAAGATAAAGTGCTACGTCATGGGAATCACCTCTTGAACCCAATATTGGATAAAATGCTACATGGTGGAGCAACCTTTGGATTCTATAGGGGCCACCTCTAAAATCATATTTGCAGTGAGGATGATAATGGGTAAAGAATACTAACAAGCATGTTTGTTATTTAAGTTGGAGAAATTGTGAAAGACCTTGAGTAGAAGAAAGATGAATAATTTAAAATTTAGATGTCTTTAATGGTCAGAATTTCAACAGAAACCATACAGTTAAGTGTGCCCCTATGTGAACACCCTTGGAATGGGCAACTGTCTGGGAAGTTACACAAATGGGACAAAATTGTGAGAACATTAGAACAACGTAGGCAATATTATATCAATGGATGAGAACATGGGCTATTATAATAATGGTAATAGCACTACAAAAGAGAACCTATTCCAATATACCACTTTCTCAAAAGGCCCAAATTTCACTATTGCATAACTGGTAAAGTATATATCAGAATGGCCAAGATTTCAGCCATGATGATTAAAGTAACAGTAACACAAAGGCAAACCAAACATGTATTAAAAAAAGAGCAGAAAAAGTTAAATTTTATATGAGTTTACCTCAATAAGGCAGGTTGTCCTACCACTTCTAATATGACTTACTATTTACAAATACCGATTTAGGGATCCTAGAAGGTGTTTGGAAACTGAATTTGACGAGGAGGTAGAGGAATAGTAAGAAAATGAAATTACAGGCTATCAACGGTATTTGGAGAAGGATAGAAGACGTTCGGCAGCTGTCCCGACTGAAAAAAGCAATGTAAACCATGAAACGGTATGTCACGGATGTAGGGTTGGGGAGTCGGTTGAAATTACAGCATGGATGACGGCGGGACAGAAAATTAGAACGAATAAAAGCAGTTTCCCTGCTGCAAACAGTGTTGGCTGCAATTTGGATAAAGGAGGCCTCCAAAAGTTCAGGAGAGATCACCACCTCGATCCTATCAGGTTATAGACATTGCTTGAAAGAAGTCAAATGATGCATCACAGAGATAACCAGGAGAAAACATCTCCAAATAACAAAAAACAAAACAAAAGTCCACTCAAGACAGAAATTAACATATAAATAGTCTCTCAAGTAAAAACCCCACTTTAAGAAAATTAGAAAATAAAGAAGAAGGAAATAAAAGAATAGAAAAGAAATAAAAAAAGGAATAAAATTTGGGCCAAAACAGAAATTTGGACGGCAGCATCTCCTGTGATCCCGTCTGTGATCTGCAACTATAGCAAAACCCGTGGTTGGGTATTCTGCTGGTGTGAAAAGAATACGTGTCCCACATCATTCTCCTCAGATAGGCGGGACTTCTCCTTTTTTTGCTAAAATATTTAGGAATTGATCTATCATCATCATAACAATATCACTTTCTTTCTGTCTCTGAGGTAGTCTCATTGCAAAATCTATACTCACGTTCATTTCAAGTTAACTCCAAAACACGTCTTTCCAAAATCTGTCATGATGGAAAATATATACATCCATTTTTGACACAACCTGGGATGGAACTACACATAGACGTATATGCTCACAGAGCAAATCTTGAGTCATGAAAATGTAATGTGCTTCTCCCTCTTCTTTTACTCGGCTGGGCACATTCAAGAAACAAATTTATCTAGAAGAACTAATTCTAGAATGAGATATGTAGCAAACACCACTTTTAGTAACACACACCCAATAAATAAATTGTCAGTCAAGATGTCTAATAGTTCCTTCAACAGCGGATATCCCTATTCAGTAAGGACTCCTCAAATTACCTATATTCTAGACAACCAAGGTTAATCCAGTTGGAGTCTCTCGTGGCTGAGCTTGAATAATTAGCTTCTCTTCCACGCCGGTTGAAAGTTAGGACTCTTCTCTGAAGTCTTCATCCTCTACTGTGTCACAGTCCATTTCTTCCACTGCTCCCTGGTTAGAACATACTTTGTTTGGGAAATCTGATGCACTGTGCCCAGAATCATGAAGCACTTTTTGGCTGGGAAAATTTAAAAGCGTTGGTTGGCCCAACCTGTTATCCACTTTGAATTGTATTCTCCTCTAGCGAGGTTGGTTGGGATGCCTCACTAGGTGTATTCTTGTTGTTTTATCCTAAGTTGAACTCTGTCTGTAAGATGTGACAGTCGTCTACTATTGTTCTCTATCGGAATTTGACGCTAGGGTCTAAACTCTTGTAATGTCCAATAGGACTGCAACTGGACCACGTTGTCAATAGAGAATCTCAATTCCCTCGAATATTGATCTATGACTTTCTCCTTGGGCTCCACTAGCCCACATTTCAACATAAATTGTTCGAACTCAAATGTGAACTCCATCACTGATAGATTTTATTGTTGCAACTGATAAGTATTTGCGTTGTATCCCTCTTTTCATCTTAAACAAGGTACTAAGTTTACTCTTCCCTTCTCGATATTAAAGAATCTTCAAGTTCTCACATAACGAAGATACACACTTATTTAACTGAATGGAGGTTAGCTTCACCATTTTATTCGTTGGAATATCCTTGAATTCAAAGACTTTTTATCGTCTGTATTCTAGATCCCCGCGACCGTCAAAATCAGAATAATCCATCTTTACTCTAAGATCATGGCTTCCTTGATATTCAATGTTGAATCATCAAGATAGTGGTTCTTTGTCACTGAAAGTTGTCTGATGAAAGGGATTCACTTCCTTTTCTCGAACTAATAAGTTACCGCTGTGGCTACGGGAGTCCTCACCGGATTGTTTTCTCTCGAAGGTGGAGAACCTCAATATCATCTGGTCGATTTCTCGCAACATATCTTCCAAATTAAGCTTTTGGAAACATCTTTGTGAATTTTTCCACAGCGATATTGTGATTTTCTCCCGCTCACATTTCCGACGGATGTAGCATTGTGATTCAAGGTTGGTTGAGGTTTAGGGTTTTTGTGATATGTGTCAGGACGAATTATTGGTGGAGGTAGGAAAGTTGAATTTTGAAAATTTAGGAATTGCGATAGGGATGGTTAGGTTAGGGTGGATTTTTTTTTTTAATTTTAGATTTGGGGCATACAAAACAAATCACTAAAAATTTAGGGATTGCAAATCTTTGATACAGATCAGCGCTCCTACGTGTTTGGAAAGCGACGCGAAGGAGTTGGAGGAATGGTAAGGGAATAAAATTACAGGCGATTGATGATATTCAACATTTGTCCCACCTGAAAACAACAAAGAAAATCACGGAATGATGTGGCACAGATGTCGAGGAGGTGTCAGCTAAAATTGTGGCATGGAAAATAGCTGAACAACGAACTACGAACAACACTTGGCTGTGAGTTGGACGACGATGGAGGCCTTTGAATGTCCATGGGAGATCACCACTTTGATCCTATCAGGTTACATACACATCGTCAGAAAGAAATCTAAAGATACAACACTCTAATAGAGATAATCATAAGCAAACATCTCCAAATAACATAAATCAAATAAAAAATCCCCTCAAAATAGAAATTAACATATAAATAATCTCCCAAGTAAAAACCCTATTTAGAAATAAGAAAAATAGGAAAAAAAGAAAAAGTAAATGAAGCAATAAGAAATAAGTCAAAAAGGAAGAAAATTCAAGATGAACTAGAAATTTGAACTATTGGTTCTCCCTTGATATCGTTTGCGGTCTGATAATGTAGCAAAACTCGCGGTTTGGTATTTCACGTCCGATCCCTCCATATAAAATTATATGAATATCTTTCTAGTTCAACTTCCATGAGAGGGTTACAAATCACTCCAAGAACGCAACTCTAGTCCTTTTCCCAAGCTCAAGCATTATGGTTTGCATCAAAAAAACTAGAACCTCAAGATCACTCAAGGAATCAACAGCAAATGAAGATGATAATGATCAAGCAACAGTCAGATAAGAGCAAAACACCCACTAAGACTATTATCTTCTCCCGTCATCCTTCAATTAAATTATCACTACATTCGATATCAAGGACTCCCTTATATATCCCAGTATGGAGGAGGGTCATAGCAAAACACACTTCAAAAGCCTCGAACAAATCCCTCTACCCAGTCCAACTGTTATAGCTGCAACATGCATCACCTTTCTCACATAACAACTTATTGACAATTTGACACACTTGTTTTAGTTTATTGAGTCGGTTGTATACTTTTTTGAATTAAAAAGATAGATAAAAAAAAGTTGGTTTGTGATACTTGTGAGTTTGGAAAGTTTACTAGGAGCTCTTATACCAGTTCCAGGAATAGGAGTTATGGCATTCTATGTTTGAAAACCACGTTCTACAAGTTCTATGAATGGTTATCAATATTTTGTGAACTTTATTGATGTTTTTCTCGTGTTATTTGGTTATATTTGATGAAAAACAAGAGTGATGTGTTTGCATGTTTTAAAGGCAACCACAAGATAAT